AGGGAAGGACTGGGGTCTAAAAAAACAGAGTGAACAAGGCTCTGCTCCTCTTTCCCGCACAGGCTGTCACTCACAGACTTGGACTTCAGATCCATCTACTCATCCTCTCAACTTTCCTTCTTGTGCTCCCAAGTTTTAATGCCTCAAATCCCCATTCCCAAGTTGAATCTAGTGAGCCATGGTGACAGGGTGTGTGGGAAGAAATTTGTGAAGAAGAGTGAGAATTGTGTCCTCAACCTTTAGGCTGGGGACTGGATGGGTAGAGAAGAAAAGACTATTGACTCAGAAACTGCCTGGTTCAGCCAAGCAGAACAGAAATGGATCAGTACATACATAAGCTACTGTGTTATCCGGGTCAGGAGGGAATGGTATCAGTGCTTTGTTTATCAGTGTGTCTAATCACATTCAACTCCCTTTGACTTCAAGCATTAAGCTTCTGCCTAGTGACAGTTGGAAAATGAGACTTGCAGTGCCTGACTGAAGAGAACCCCTTTTGGAGCTCCCTTTGCAATGTTATGACAAGCTTCTCATCTGCAGCTTAAAGGCCCACCAGAGATTTTTGTGATTTGATTTAAGGGATTGCTTTCAGACATGAAGCAAACAAGTGATTAAGTATAAAGAAGATGTGGTAATGAGTTTCATATGGGGTCTTTTATGTTTAATAAAAGAAGCCTGAAAGTTTGCTGCTACTACTATTTCTTGTTTTCTAACTTAAAATGTCATCTTTGAATCTCATACTGCACAGTGCTTACAAACTGCAAGATCCTATTACTGTAATATTGTAAAAAAAGTCTTAAAAATAAAATAAATCTAGTAGCATACAAATCTTTTTTCCAGTGTGTAGAAAAGCAATGAGCCATTTTAAGAGCAGGAGGAACATGCATTTTGAGATCCAATAGATCATCTAAGCTGGTCCCAAAGCAAGTTTTAAAATGGCATTGCAAAGACTTTTGCTTTGAATAAATTTAGCATTACAAAACTCAGAATATAAATAAAAATAAATTAGATTTTCTGATTGTTTTGTACTTTATTAATATTCTGATTAATTAGAAATAAAAGTGCTTAGTACATATGACCCTTTCTGACTATTCCAACTGCAAAACTTAAAAATGTTAAACTGAGATTTATGCCCTTTCAGTTACTTCCACCTAGCTTTTTACTATGAATAATCTTTATGAATTTCTAGGTAATGTAAACTTTAAACTCTTGGGTTTTGTTTTCTGACATTTGTATGTTTGAAATTTGGATTAGTGAATTTAAAATTTCTCACTTGCCTGACTTCCTGCAGCTCTCTTGTAGATGGAGAATTATTCTACATTGCCACATCATATATTTTCAATCCAAACATTGTCTTCTCAATGGTGTACCTTGCAGCCAAAACAGGCCTGTGTGGGTCCACTTAATATGAACTCCTCATAGTTTCAGAGCTGCTGAAGAAAACAGTATCAGAAAAATGGCCTCTATTCAAGGAAAACTGTCTTTGTAATAACAAATGATTGCACTCTCTTTATCTAGTAGTTCTCTACTGTTCATGAATTTATAATGTCAGTATAATGGCTTGCAAACCTTGCAAATCTTCTCTATGCACATGCTGCCACTCGGTGTGCTTTCTGTGCTACATAGCGTCTTTCTCTGTTGGGGTGGGGCAGAAGGGCAAATGTGGAAGTAATTCTATAGCAGTATTTTTAGTATCTCCTCTCTTGGACTCTTAAGTTTTGATGTGTTAACCAGACTTCTGAAAAACTGAAATATTTCACTAAGAATAAACGCCTTGATTTCTGTACTCGAAGCTTGAATTTGGGAGTTTGAGACTGTACAAGGAATGTGGAATTGAATCCTTAACCAAATAATGCTTAACGCTAACAGTGGGTTGGTTTTCATGATCTCTTATGAGCTTTAAAATTCCTAACAGTTTCATGGGTATATTATACTTTTGTTTGTATTTTATTTACAATTTAGCTTTCAATATTATGAGGCTCACATTAAAAAAAAATAACCCAACTTGATATATGATGAAATCTGTTTTTTGCCCAAAAATATTTCCACCCAGTATGCTATGATGTATTGCCTGTGAGCTGCTCAGTGATTCATTTGTTGTAACTGCATTTCTGAACCAGAACGTGGAAACAGAATCATAGAATGGTTTGAGTTGGAAGAAACCTTCAACATCATCCAATGCAACCCCCTTGCCATGGGCAGGGACACCTTACCTTCCACTGGACCAGGTTGCTCAACGTCCCGTCCAATCTGGCCTTGAGCCCTTCCAGGTGAGGGACAACCACAGCTTCTCTGGGCAACCTGTGCCAGTGTCTTACCACCCTCACACTGAAGAATTCCTTCCTTATATATGATCTAAATCTGCCCTCTTTCAGTTTAAAACTGTTACCCCTCATCCTATCCCTATACTCTATGATAAAGAGTCCCTCCCCATCTTCCCTGTAGCCCCCTTTAAGTACTGGAAGGCTGCTATGTGGTCTCCAAGGAGCCTTCTCTTCTCCAGGCTGAACCACCCCAACTCTCTCAGTCTGGCCTCACATGGGAGGTGCTCCAGTCCCTGATCATCTTCGTGGCCTCCTCTGGACCCGCTCGAGCAGGCCTGTGTCCTTCTGATGTCCCAGATCTGGACACAGCACTGCAGAGGGGGGTCTGACGAGAGCAGAGTAGAAACAGGTATGATTTAGTGGAAGTGCTCACTGAAGGGACCAATGTATGTAAAGGTGCAACTCTTGCAGTATCCAAACATATTCTGTTGCTTTAATGAATTGAGAAGTCTATTATTTTTATTGCAAAAATACCTTTTATTACAAAGGTATTAAGAGCAGAATTTAGGTGATGGTTAATTCTTTGCCATTAGTGAATTAAGTTCTACCCCCCAGCATATTTTTGGTTAGACAGAGAAATTGGTAGACATTGTTAAACTAGAGAAATACATTCCATTTCAGTTTAATTTCTGGGGTTTTCACCCTTTTTTGTTTTCTTCATTTGTCTATTCAACTTAGCCCACCCTTCCATACAGTTTTTTTTTAAACATTCTTGTAGGAATAATGTTTCTTATTCTTTCCATTTCAGTGAAATGTATATTTTTTCATTTTGGTAATGGTCAGCAAAGATTACATGCATCATATTTTGAACCCCATACATTCTACAATCAGTATCTTTATATTCTTGAATTATTACAGTATTGATTCCTAATTGTCTTGTTATTTTCTACTGTATAAAAAGCTGCACCGTTAAAACTTGTGAAACTCCATTTTCCAGCTCTACTTTTTTCTTGCAGTTTCACCTGCACCATCACATCATGGCAGACCATTTATGTATTTGCTTTATTCCCTTCCATTATTACATTTTAAGGACACTGTGACAAGATCTCTTACTTTGAATACCTTTTTGAAACTTCTTGAAAGCCAATAGTCTGAAAAGTATATTAGAAATTCTCAAAGATTGTATCAGTGAGCATCTTGACAGTGACTGCTTCTTCTCCTTTTCAGTGTGAAGAGTAACAGCTTTTGCATTTGGAATCATACCTTACCTTGTGGTAACTTCTCTAGGCAGTGCTAATATAGAAAGATACTATTAAAAAAAGGTACTAAGAATTTTAAGCTGTGAAGTAGGATTGTTAAATCTACTTGAAAGAAGTTTCCTGTCAAGCTCTTTGTTTCTTCCCCTATTTCAACATTTTTTTTGTGTGTTTCCACCTGGATCCATGTTTGTATGCTAACTGCTGTGGCCGTGACTGCATATTCACATTGTGCATACTTTCCTATTTCTTCATTATATGACCCAAAGAGCCAGTTCCTCCCTTCTCCTTTTCCTCAAACAGGTACCCAGTCATTTAGATTTTCCTTTTTCTTGCCACTCTTTGCCTCGCTTCACCAAATTTTTTTTTTTTTTTTTTTTTTTTTGGTGATAATATTTATGCTGCTGTCCTTGAAGGTGGCTGCTGCTTTTGCCCCTTTCTTTACTTTTGTAATAGGGGACAGTCAGGTCAGCTATTTTTCCTTCTTATTTCCAAATGCTTTTATGAGTACCGAAGCTTTTAATTGCAATTTGCAGTAGAGCTGTTTATAGAAAAAACTGTATACAAATAGCAACCGGTATCAAGTCATCTGTGGAGTTTTTCCAGGCCACCAGCAAGTATTTGCCTGACCATAATTTGAGAACTGTTTGAATTGCGTTAAGAGAACAATTGCATGCTTGACCATTTTTACAGCAAGAAATGAGAAAATCAAGGCTACGTATACCTTCTGTGCTGTTAGAATGCTTTTGTTTATTTTTTCTTCCTTTTTTTTTTTTTTATGAGTTTCTAAAGGAAAAAAGCAGTTATATAATGTGGAGCAATTTGGTGAGGTTCTTTATTAAGGCATTTCTGCTTAGGACGATCCTTGGAATATCCCTTATTTTGGTTGATAGAGATTTGTGCTTACTACAGAAAAGTATGGTAAGGCCCATTTGTTAAGAGACTTATGCAATATACACTGGAGAAAAGTGAAGAACCTTATAATTTCCCTATTTATTATATCCTTGTTAAATACTTCTGTTTCTAGATTACTGATCTGTGCCCAAACCTGTGTAGTGACTGTAGTATCTGATTGCCCACTTCACGGCTTTAATGGGTAACTTAAATACAGGATACAGAACATTATTTTCAATGAGTTACGTATTTAATAAGTCAAGATTTTTTTTTTTTTTTTATACACTTTCTGTGTATGTCATAGACATTATGTGTATCTCAAGTTTGGACTGTTTTAATGTTATTTTATGTTTTGACTATTCTACCTTTTCTATTCATGTATTGGTGCTAAAAATTATTTCATTTCTTGTTACATTTTAACAAGTAAAAGAATCCTTAAGTCTGAGATAAAGTTGGAAAATCTACAGAGAAAACAAGCAAAATGTTTCTGAAGTGACCAAAAAAAAAAAAAAAAAGAATTAGAAAAAATAAATAAAATATGCTGAAGATCTTTGCTAAAACCTAAACATGTTTGATTTACTTACTGTAGGTTGATGCCTTGCGGTTACGATTGGAAGAAAAAGAAACCTTTCTGAATAAAAAAACAAAACAACTTCAAGACCTCACGGAAGAGAAAGGAACCCTGGCTGGAGAAATTCGAGATATGAAAGACATGTTGGAAGTAAAAGAAAGAAAAATTAATGTCCTTCAAAAAAAGGTGAGATCTCTAATGAAAAGATATGTTGTAAAGCTTTTAAGGCATGTTTAAAGGAAATATATTTATTTATTACAGCATATTACTTTTATTAAAAAATGCAAGGAGTAAGTCTGTAATAGTCAAATAGTTCTCTAACATAAAATATGTGTTACTGTTTTCCATGGGATCTTTTCTACAGTATTACGTTTTAATTATATTGTATCACAAAAATATTAGGTAATGCAGTTTCCACAAAATTATTTAAATTAAATTAAAGTCCTAAAAATTCTGACAAAACTTCTTTTTCTTCAACATGAGGGATTTAGTTATCCTTACTAACACTGATTTCTACTGTTTCCAAATAATGTAAATACATTGTGTGGAACTGCTAAAAGATTAGGATACTGTTTTTTTTCTTTGAAGACTTTTTTTTGTGGGGTAGGAAGGGAGTGGAGAAAGAACTTAAATTAAGTCAATTATCTGCCTTTCCTGTGAGCTAAAGACATTAGGAGGGGAGGCTCTCTCTGAACAGCCTTATTAGTCTTATTTCTAATTTTCCACAAATTTAGCTAACTATATTTACTCTCTTTGGGAAGTTGGATTTAATCATTGCAATTTCCACTTGGGGGAGCGGGGAGGGAATTTCCTGGAGAGGCATCTCTGCAAGGGTTCTGCATAAAGTAGTAGAGTGTTTATTTACCATGCTCTTTGTCTCACACTCACAAAAATATTTATGCTAGCAGGTATGCTCTGTGTGTGTCATGTATCACTCTATCGTATACAGATGCACTTGTGAGTGTACAGATAAAAAGTTCCTGGCATCAAATACACTCTACTATTACTTCTCCCCTCCTTTTACAGCCACTCAAAGAATGTCTACTCTTTACTCTATTATTATGTAGGTAGTTCATGTTACTGTGGTTTTCCTGCAGGATTCACATAGGGTTCAGATATTCTAGCTCTGCTTCAGTCTGCAGTTGGTTAAATACAGTCTTTAAAAAGCCAAGTCCTCATTTTCTAGAAACTGAGAAGTCTGCTTTTTCAGACCCAGGAAATAAGGCCTATCAAAACTGGAATATAGGTACTTATCCACTTTAATCTTATTCTGAATATTTGCCTTGTTAGCAATGCTGATGTTGTAAATATAGCAAACTTCAAGCCTTTATCCTTTGCTGAATGCTAATTGATTTTGAATATACTTGAGAATTTTGAAGAAAAAGAGTGCAACTTTTCTTATGTTTTGTATTCTAAAAAATGCCCAAACAAACCAACAATTTACAATTGGTCTCATATTTAGATCTTGAGAAAATAGATCAGTAGGAGGAATGTGGATTCAGTGATCAAAATTATGTGATGAATATAACTTATCACAGAGCTGTCAGCACTATCTGTCATGGATATGTGCTGAGAAATGTACAACACTTTTTCTGTTTTTAACACATCATGGCTATTTTATTAGGGCTTGCAGATGGTCTTGCCTCTTTTGCACCTGCTTCTTAATGAATCTAATCACTCTCAAACTGCCCTATCTCTCTTCACTAATTCAGAGTAAATAAATGTTATAGCCTTGTGAGCTCTAGTATACAATGTGATAAATAAATCCTGCTAACTGCTAGGTACAAAATCAGGGTTAGTACTAAATTAATTCTTTAAAACTGGAAGGAGCACCTGATTTTTTTTTTTTTTTGAGGTTTTTATCCTTAATAAAGTAAATATGCTTTATCAGGGGACTTATGAAGTTGAGTTTTTCTGCTATGGGCTACATACTGGGTTTACTTAGAGAAGAAAGAGCTATGATGATTACTTAAAAAAAAAAAAGGAGGGAAAAATAGTTCTTTTACATCACATAAAAGTTATGTGTAGATTTGCTTCTCTAAAGCATTTTTAATAACCACATTATCTTAATATGGAGATGATAGCATGACCAAAAATGCTAATATCAGATCATCATTACATCATTACTTTGTTTTTAGGAAAAAAAAATGTATTTGGAAAACACATTTTTAAAGTTACCCTTAGGTCACATTTTCAGTTTTGGATCATTATTTTCCTTGTGCTTCACTTCCAATATGTTTAGAGATAAATTCACTCACGGATATTTTGACTAGACAAAAAATTTGATTGAAATATTGTCCTGCTCTACTCACCCTTGTTATTTAAATAAATCTAGAGTATGATACTAAAGGATGCTCTCACTGTGTTTACTTTTCATGCATGTGGTGTACAATTCTGAAGTAGAAAATTTTGTAGTCACCAATGGAAATCCAGGCTTTTAAATTCATCTGGGGGAAAAAAACCCCAATAATCTACTTGTTGTAGTTAGCCCAAGTGTTCATTTTGGCAGTACTTATTAGTACTTATGGTTAGCTTCCTTGCGCATTACAGTGTCCTTGACAGCAGATGCAATCTCATCTCTGGATTGTGATACTTGCATGTAGAAAGGAAGATGTTCAGTGTCTGCCTGCCTTTTTCAAGAAGCTTTCCTGGCATTAGTGCCTTTCTGCTCTAGATAATTTTAGCCTCATTACATGAAGTTATGTGTCCCAGGGCATTCATACCTCATAGTCTTTATTCTGTCAAAGGGAAAGGGAGCACAGCTCCTTTTTGGCCATAGACAGATTGTTCATTCAGTCATGTGTTATTTCAGAAATATGTTGGGCTATGTATAATAGTACTTCCTAGTGCTGTAGTATTATTATTGTAATATTTTTGAACAATCACTTTTCAGGAATTTTCAGATAGTCTAGAAGTGGATGCTGTGCTTTAAGAAAAAGATTGCCTGATGTACCTCTTCCAGTTTTGACAACATACTTTTCAAATAGCAACCATATATAAGAATACATCTTGATGGAAAAGTATCTAATATATATTGTTTGCAGTAATTTTATCCTTTACTGGAATCTAATTATGCTTTTATCCATTACCCTTTGCTGGATTGCATGTGACTTGCATTCCTCCAGTTTTTGTTCATCTTCTCCTGACCTTTTTGCCACTTCTTTCACTATTGTTTTCACTTCAAGTGATGGCAGCCAGACATTTGCATGTTGAACATTTAGAAATTAATTTGTTCTCATTGTGCACATATAAGTGGAGAATTCACTGGATGGAAAGCTATATGGACCATTTCATATGACAAGAGGTGAAACAATTACTGGGCCTGCAAGTGGATTGTACTCCCTTCTTTCAGGACATTGCCCTGGTTTCTGTCTTACTCTCATGAAAACTCTTCTGAAAGCAAAGGAATTTCTTCTAGTTCTTCTTCCTAAGTTCTCTCTAGACATTAGGTTCTTCTGACGGTAATATTATAATACTTGTTTCCATTTTTCTTTTTTCTATGCAGGGCCACATTTTATATCTGTGCATTTTTATTTACTTTTGATATGAGGACTTGTGAATAACCAGTTATTCTAGTGCCTTCATTTGTTGATGCAAGATAGATGGCTACATCTTGCTTCACTCAGCCTAAAATAATACTTGTTTTAATGATTGTGTTCAAATAATTGAAGAAGGAAGAATTTGTATATAGTGCTTAAAAATATTTGTCAGTAATAACTGGAAACTCAGTAGGAAGGAATACGTAACTTGAAAGATGCAATTTCTAATGCTGTATTCTTTCTCTTGTATACATTATTGTTGCCTGCCATGTTGAAAAATACAAAGGAGTCCAAACCAAACCCATAAAAGCTCCCTTTCAAAGTTGGAGCTGTTTCTTCTCCTTTCTGGATAGCTTTTATACTTTGAGGACAGGACAGGTTCTGTCGAGGGCTCCCTCCCAAAAGCGTGGAAGAAACAAAACCATTGGCAACAAAACAGCGGTTGTGAGTCCCATGGGATGGCATAGGAACACACGTAAGGCAACATGTTGCAGAAAAAAGTAATGGGCTAGATAATGAGCTAATGATGCATTGTCTTTCCATGCAGTGGTTTTGGTGTAACTTTTAACCAAATTGAAAAAGTGCTACACTGTTCAGTATGATTTGCAGGTTTAAGGGAGGCCCAGAACTGGAACAGCATGCATTTAGAGGATTTGGATCAAGGTAGATTGGCATGGAGTAATAATAAGCTTATGTCAATGTCAGAGGTGCAATATTACTTAATATTTCTTTCTTTTAGAATCTTTGGCACCACTGTTACATTTTAGTGCCAGTAAAGTTGGGTATGCTGTTTTAATAGCCTTGTTTAACCTGGCAAAGCTAGTCTTACACCTCATATCTGTCAGTTTAGCACGCAGAGGGGCAGACCTCAGAAATCTTTATGTATTTCTTACCAGAATGTGCAAGTTCTATGAATACGGCCAGGTTGTATGCTGAAGGGCAGAAGTGCTGAACTGGATGATGATTCTTTCATGTCCCTTTTTGCTCCCAAATTTTCTCTTTCATACAGTGGCTATACTTGGTGTGTTTTGTCCTCTATGAACCTGTAGATATTTTAAAAAACAATTATATACTCTGAAGTATCACTCTCTGTCTTGAAAACGGTAGCTGCTGAGACAAGAACAGCATAGATGATGTAGACCTGGATCATATTAGGACAACAGCTTGTGGAAATTCTTTTGTGGGGACTATTATAAAAGAACACCATGTAAAGGGGGCTAATGTAATATTCTACTTTGACTTGCAACATAACTTTTCATGTAAAATGTTACAGTTTCCATCTTTAATAGTTTAACCTTTGTGATTGATGAAGTGCTACATGACTGAGGGCCCTAACCTACCAGCTAATTAGCATTTGTAGGAAATGTCATAAAGTTTTAGCTCTCATGTAATAACTGGAATCTGTACTTGGAGTGGCTGGACTGTGCACACTAGGTGATATTGTCCAGTTCATGTTAAATTAAAATGTGTTGTACAATTAATTGTATGCATGTCATGGTTTAACCCCAGATGGCAACTAAGCACCAGTACTGTTACCTGGTTACCTGTCTTCTAAAAAAGAGGACATTTCCATATGGTCAGATTAGGGGTATACTAGCATAAACAAGCAAGTCCTACTGTTGTGCTTAGAAATTTGCATCAGTATTA